ATAAAATAGCCTTCTCTAAAAATGTTGAAAGACTCTGTTGCTTAATTAATGCTAAAATAATAAGTCTACAGATGGTGTTTTCTCTTCTGAAAATGGGTGGGAACGGTTTCCATAGTGTGAACTGGGAAGAATAGAGATCAAAATTTTTAAGGAATATTTTTCTGCTGGTAAGTACACAATATTCTTTTTCCCGTCACCTCCCTCTTAAATTTCATCAACAAAAATCTGAAAATTTCCTTTTTTAAAAATCAAAACTGATTTTACAGTCTTTTGCCAATAATCACATTACACTTTAAGGAAGGTTGCTCAAATATGCAGACTGAACACACCAATGGAAAACCTGAGTGTGGCCTGCCTGACACCAGGGCTCTTGATGAATTTCAGTCCCTGTAAAGGTGACATCTCTGGTTTTAAACGAAATTCGCTTTTCAGATCAAAGGGTGGGAGCTGCTAGCAGTCCATGGGAGTAAACGTGAAGTTGTGATGGTTGGAAGAAATCTGATTTACTGAATTGCTTGAGTGGAAAAATTTATTTTGAAAGTTGAAATGAATCATCACAAACTCCATCAGGAAAGGAGTGCTTTGAAAAGTCTATCCAAAAACCATGCAAAAATAAGCAAAGCAAAATTCTTGGAAGCTGTTTAAGGAATGAAGAATATAATATGCTCACACCTTCTCAAAACGATTTCTTCCCAACAATTATGTGGCCAAGTGAACGGCACTGATATGTACCCCAGCCCCTCTCTCTCCATGGATAGTGGAGGGGAAAATTTCTAGTAAAATTCACCATCTTTGTGACATAATCCACATAGTGTAAAACAATGAAATAAAGCTATTCTAGGAACCTTGGTCCCTGGTCAAGCAAAACTTCTTTAGGACTCTGAGTGGTGTTTGAAGGACAGCTTCAGGCAGCACTTGAGGTGGAGGGAGGTCTAAAGGTGCTCTTCTGTTAGATCGGGGTCCCCCATGCTTTGAGAGTGCCCCCGTTTGTCTCAAATTGGTGCCATGTTCTTGGTTTCTTTGGGACTGTGGGGAGTCCATCCTTCTAAAGGGCAACTCACAATGTAACAAGAGCTCATGTATGTTTAGAGCAGTTTATCAGCACTCAGAAACAAGAAACCCAATTAGTTGCCATATCCCGGTCTTCTCAAACTTGCAATCTTTCTTCATTTCCATCACTGGCTCCCTGCACCCCCTTAATAACCTCATGCTCTCTTGCCAATCTTATGTGTTTCTATACATAGCAGTCTTGTCTTCTTCAGAGACAAACCGGACCATGTTTAACTCTCCTACTTCAAACCCTTCACTGAAAAAGTCCCCACCTGGGTTTTAGTGATCTTACTGTCATCTAACTTCTTTACCCCTCTTTCCAGCCGCTCCCCCCACCCAGTACCTGTCTCTACAAGAGGTGCCATTGCTGACACCAGAGGGGACAGGGAAATGTGTGGAGACGTGTTTTGATCTATAGTTGCACAAGGACAGGGAGAGAGGGAGGGGAGGATACCAACCACGCTTCCTGTCCAGGCCAGGGATGCTCAGTGTCCTGAAAGGCTCCTCTGAGGCTGAATAAAGTCTAGAGTCCAGCCGGCCCCTTGGGAAATACAGCGGACCCCTAAACAACATGGGTTTGAACTGCATGGGTCCACTTATGTATGGAGTTTTTTCAATAAATACTGTAAATGTATTTTCTCTTATGATCTTTTAAATGACATCTTCTTATCTCTAGCTTACTTTATTGTAAGAAGGTAGTACATAATGCGTATGACATATGTGTTAAGCGACTGTTTATGTTATCGGTAAGGCTTCTGATCAACAGTAGGCCATTAAGAGTGAAGTTTTTGGGGAGTTAAACATTATACATGGCTTTTTGACTGTGTAGGGGGTCAGCACCCCTAACCCCCAAGGTGTCCAAGGGTCAACTGTACTGTCCATGGCCTCTTCAGCTCCCTCGGCACAGGTCCTGGTGCTTTCCTGATCCTGGCCAGAAGTGTTTCCCCCCCCATTCCCCACCGGCCCCACTTGATCACCCTCTCCTCATCTCTCAAGAACCTAACTACCACCTCGCTGGAGGAAACTCTTTCTTGACCTACTAAACTAGGTTATGCCCCTGTATTATAAACTCACCCGCAGCCTGTAGACACTGCACGCTAGTATGCCAACACTTACTTATAAATTTTATACTTCCTGATCATCAACTCTGACCTTAGGTAAGCCCCCAGGTAGACAGTGTCTATATCCACTGCGCTCTCTGTCCAGCACTCATAGACATGCCATGATTGTGCTCAATAAATACGTCCTTCTCAAAACATGTCCCCTCCTCTCTACACACATTCCCATCTCCTGGATTTAACCCTCCTTACGCTCTCCTCTGGAATTCCCAGAGACATAACCAGGGTCCTTGCTGTCAGTTTTCCTTCTATCATTCACCTTATAAGACATGATAGAGTCATTTTCCCAAAGTGCTTTGATAATACTCTCCTTGACCTAAATTCTATATTGGCTCTTCAATGCCTAAAAAATTAAGTCCCAATTTCTTAACCTCACATGCAAAACCCTCTGCAATCCAGCTTTCACCTACCTTCTCAAGCTCTTCCCTGTCTTCCACCCTCGAAGGGGTGAACTTCTCTCAGCTTTCCACATCTGCCTTGAAATTCTCCACTTTGTTGGGCTCTTGCCTCCATTCCTACACATCTCAATCCTACTTGGCCTTCCAGGCTAAGCGTAAATGTTATCTACTCTAACAAGCCATTAGTAATCCCAAATGAAAGGCATCTCTGTCAGCCCTCAGAAATCTGATAGCACTTTATCTCTATTTTTCTTGAGACATTTATTTTCTACCTTGTGCTGGAATTATCCATGTGTGAATCTAATCTCCCTCATCAGACAACAAACTCTTTGAAGGTCAGACCCACATCAATCCATATACCTATCACTCTTAAGAGTCTATTGCAGTGTCTTAGTCATAAATATTACATGAATGAGTAAGGTTAATGAGCAATAATGGAATCATTTTTGCTGTGTGCTAATAGTAAGAATTTAGAAATTAATTCTAAACATTCATTTAACTTGTTAGAAGTCAACTAATGATCAAGAACACCAACGGCCTGTTGTTCTATGCCAAATGTACTCACCATTTGCAATTTATTTCAACTTAAACCATTTCACTCAATAGGTTAATGTTTACAACACAATTAAAAGAAAGCCCTGTAGTCTAAAGGCTTAATAAAAATGATGAAATAATGACATTGATGATGATGGTGTTAATAATAAAAACTGGAAACAAGCCTGAAAACACCCCATTGGCTGACTGCCAGGCAAATTGTCAAATTGGAGAGAAGCAGATAAGGGTGGCAGAAGCTAACTTGAAATTCACTTGGCAACATCTCAGGTAAATTAGTAACAGTTTGGAGTCTATCCTCTTTAGTCCACATGAGATAAACGAATGGATTTGCATCATGGAATCTAGTGAACTATAGCAACTGCACCATGAACTACAAGCCACAGCCTCATATCACATAATTATAACTCCAGGATTAAAAAACCATTGTGTCTACTGAAGAATGGGGCCACCTTAGTTCCTGTTGAGGCAGGCAAGTAAATGGTCATCTTGTAAAACTTCTGAGTCCAAAGTCAAGCCCTTTGGACTTAGGAACAGAGTGCAATGTCTACATAGCGAAGGGTAGGGGGTCTGGAGGCAGGGCTTGTGGTCAGCCCACACTATTTAGTTCCTATGTATGAAAGACTGGGTTCAGGGACAAAAGGACAATTGCCAAAATTGTTTTTATGCTCATCAGACACATTGCTTCCCATCACCAGTCGGTCCTGATACAATGATAGTTGCTTCTACCACCAAATTGTCAGAGCTTCTAAAACAAGCCACATTCAACACTCTTATATTTATAAATGCTTACTCATGAAATAATTTCAAAATAAATTAAATATACTATGAGTAAAGATGAATAACAGGAAAGCTTTAGACTCAAAAGAAAATGATTCCACTAGAATTCCCCTTTGGGGGTGGGAGTGGAGGTGGGGCTAGAAGCAGAAAATGTTATTTTTTGATCTAGAGGCTTACAGACCTTCGAAGTTGAGAAGGAGGTCTGATGAAATGGAAAGAATAGGTCATAGGGTATAATTAAATTGGCTGTACATGTATTTTCTCTGTCAGTATTTAGTAGGTTAAACAATATCAGTGAGGATGAATCATTTCTGTTTGAAGCACAAAACACATTGACAGAGAAACAAAGAAGCTTGGAAACTTTATATTCTCTGGGTCTCTGAACAATCAAAGGCCTTGTCTAGTCAACATTTAGAGTAATTTTTCCCAGGGGGATTATTGCTATTTGATGGGATGAAACAGTAACATTCTTGTGACACATTTTCGTTTTCTGAGACTAAAAGCTACATTTTGGATGTATGAAGACATACACACAGATGCAGTCAGCCACATTTCTCACACTTCCTCTTCTAGCCATAGGGAAGGCTACAACCTTTTGGAGGCTTGGCCCTCAAAGAAACTTTAAAAGTTTGCTTGAAAAGTGAATGTCAAACAGAGGTGGCTCTTTCAGAAAACAGGGTTAAGATTAAACTCTTGTGAGATGGGAGTTTTTCTGCTTACAGGTGTGTGTAGTTTGGAAAACGAAAGTCCAAGGAATTAACAGATAATGCCAAACGCATGGACACAAGGCATGGCTGTTTCATTACAATACCATGCTTTTCTTTAAGATCCTCAACTCAGTTATTAAAACTAAAGTGTAAGACTCCTAGCATTGAAACTCTCCAGGCAACTGGAAAGAAAATGGGTGTTCAGAGCCAGAATGGGTGACACCTACAAGCTATAAACCTGAGACTAGCTCTCATTCAATTTCAGTTAGTTTTCTTTCTGAAATTTGTTCCTGTGATCTCTAGGTCTGCAGAACTGTGGGGGGAAAATTGTGAACAACTGGCCCCAAAGGGACCGCAAAGTTCCGTGCTGACAGTTGAAATCATGAAGCCGTTACCATGCTCCAGCGCCTTCATGGGAAACCAGAAGAGGATGAGGGAGTGGACCAAGGCGTTGATGCAGTGACCCCAGAAAACCTACGGGAAAACAGACCGAGGGAGTCAGGAGCTGCCCGCAACTCTTGACCTCTGTGTAACTTAACAAATGCCTCACTGTGAGGGATGCTGGCAGTGTGTCACACAGCTCCAGCAGCAGCATATTATTCTTGGAGTTAAAAAAACAAAACAAAACGGTTTCCTCATTTTTACACACAAACGACTGGACTATCTCCAGATACTATTACTTAGTACAAAGGCCTAAATATATATACACACATACATAGAGCAATATACAGTCTAGCCACATTGGAAAAATGAATTACGAGCCATTTTCTTTAGAATCCTAAGCAAGAAAACAAAATTTTACCATCATCCAGAAAAAGGGCATTAGGTCAAAAGTGTTAATAAGAGACTGAAACGGTGTATTTTTTGAAAGCATTAAAAACATTTAAACTGTAAATTCTTACACAGCATTCTCATTCTTTTGTTTTACTCCTTAAAATCCCTCTCATTCAACTTATTAACTTTTAGGATTTTGGTTAATATCATGCACATTTAAAAATTCTCTTTATTTTAAGACTTGAAAGGTCAACAAACTAAAGAACATTCAACTAAAAGAAGTTCAGTTTGCTCTAAATTATCATTTCATAAATGCATTTCAGTCATCTTTTTAACCACTGAGATGACAGAATTCAATCTACTAAAGTCAGATTGAATTCACTTAAAAATCTACAAATTGTCCTGGGAACTCTCATACAGTTTGAGCCTAGGTAATGGGACAGCAGAAAATAATGAAAAATTCTAAGACAAAGGGATTTTCGCATTTTAAATGTTTATTCTTTTCTACTTTTTCCCTGACCTTTGTATGCCCCTGCCCTTTCTACCCCTGCAAACTTCAAGGTGACTGCAAATAAGTCTCAGATCATTCTCAGCTCAACTACCTTTAATAGGTCCATTCCCTACATATTTTGCACCTTATGTGGTCTTTGAATTCAAACTGTAAAAAACCAGATTTGATTTATGCAAATAATGCAGAGCAAACAGGCCATATTTCCTACTGATAGAATCGTAGTAAACAAAGGCTGATGCAATGGGTCATCCAAGTCTCCTTGTGGATGGAATATACTAGAACCAATAGGATCCCTTTTACTCCCCCCTCCCCCAGTCTCAGACATGCCAATTATGCTTTCCCCCGAATGAGGCAGCTCCGAAGGACCATTATCAGTAACACTTCGCTCAAAATGAAGCCTTCACAGATTGTTATCTTACTGAGGATGTTCTAGGTCATGCTCACTGAGGCCCCAGGGGCTATCCTCGCAAAGCCTGCACACCACCAGCATCAGTACTGTAACTGACCCGGGTGATGGACCTCTGTGTCAACCTCCTCATCCCCTCCTGCACAAAAATGTGACAGAAACAGCCATGCAGGCGTGTTCACATCTCTGCCTCTTCCGCCAAGCCAGTCACATGTCTTCCCTTCTGGTTAGTGGCACGCAACTGCTCTGCCACTCTTAGCTGTGACTGGCAGGCTGAGTGAGACCCCCTTTGCCACCATGCCTGTGGAATCCCTGTGACACCTAACCCAGCATCCGCTTGGCTCCTCTCAAGGTTGCCTTTTCTGTCTAGATGCTTTCTCGTTTCTGATTCTCCAGGGTGAAAGAAAAATACCCACGGGTGATTCGATTTCTGTGTTCATATCTGGCCAGTTTTACTCACTAGCTAAAGCAGCGGTTCTCAGCCTTTCACAGGGGTCGCCTAAGACCATCGGAAAACACATATTTTCGATGGTCTTAGGAACCGAGACACGGCTCCTCTATCCGTCTCCAGGCCCACATGCAGATACGCCCACCTACGAATACCCTGTGACCCCTGTGAAAGGGTCATTCGACCCCCAAAGGGTTCGCGACCCACAGGTTGAGCACCGCTGAGCTAAAGAAACATGTTCTTTTAAATGAAGGAAACAAGCAATGGTGGTGAGAGGGCTCTGGGAGGCGAGCTCTAGCCCATCTCAATGCAGGGCTTCACAGAAGGGGAGTCTCCAATGGCTGATCATAAAGGAGCCGGGGTCAGCCATGGCTGCTGCTGGCCACACTGATGTCGGAGGCATGTGGGGAGGAGTGGGGAGGGGCCAACAAAGAGGAAACGAAAGAAGCACCACATGCAACATGATGACTTCCTTTCCGGTTCGTCATCTCAAATCCACTGGGCTTCCTATATTAGGGGAGGGCCTGGTTTCAACCCCTCCAAATGGTCTTTGTAAAGTGTCAGCTACCTCACAGGCAGGTCACTAGAGCTGGAAGACAGAAAGCAGTGCGCACGCCTTTCCGAGGTGATAACATTGTTTACCTTTGTGTTGAAGCCCTCAGCATTCTGGGTGATTTTGTAGAGCTGTGGGAACCTGAGCATGCTCTCCTGAGTGCAGGACCTCTCGAAGATCCCCAGAGTGAAGGGTGGCAACGCGGTGAAAATCTGCATGGAGAACAACGAGCCATTAAAAGAGGCCTCTCGGGTTCATGTAGCTCCAGCGTCTCAGCTCTGTGGAATGATGACCTAACTTTCAGTCAAGTCCAAACCTGAGAGCCAGTGATTCACAGCTCCCCCAACACCCTCCAAACAAGGAAAATTAAATGAAAGATCCTTCTTAACTGTTACTTAATCAGCATGACATGAATACATTGAACACTGAAAACAACATGACAAATATTTGATCAGCCAAGAACTCTTGTTAAATTAACAACTGCCTTCCTTTGTAAAAAAAAAAAAGCGGTGATTCAGGATCATCCCTTCCTTAGCTCTGTGAAGTGTGGCTGTGTTTTCCGTCAGTGCCAGCTGATGCACAAATTTACAACTTCCCATCCTGCTCTTAACGCTCAAGTTTCAGGAAGCGTGATGTACTTCATCCATTTATTCATTTGACAGACATTAACTGGGAATGAATGATGGGCCAGATACTGTGATAAGCATCAGGAATACAGAGATATAAAAACAAAAGAAGAAAGAAAGAAAACAAGCAGGTCTTTGACCTCCAGGAACTCGGCCTACTGCAGAGGCGGGGACGGGGCAGCCGGCAGCTGGCATGTAAATCAACATAGAACACAGTGCTCCGCAAAATTACTTATGGGGGAGAGAAGAGGAAGGAGAAGGGACAACTAACAAAGCATTCTTGGACCAAAGAGCATCTGACCTGTAAGGCACTGGACTTACAGGATTTGGTAGGATGACAGGGGGTGTGGGTGAGAGGGGTGCAGAAAGCATCATTCCCATGAAACGATACCCCTCACGAAGCTTGGAGGCATGAACACACATGACGCATTCGGGGAAAACATCTAAGACATCCGGAATGGTGGCTGGCTGAGGGAGCAGTGTAAGACAAGGCCGGCAAGGAGATGAAACAGCCTCGTGGGATGACAAGTTCTTGGGCAAGTGGTGCTAAGACTTTCACCTGTAGTACTCCAGAGGGGAGTGGCATGCCCACATTTGTATTTTAGAGAGAGAAAGCCAGATGTTGAAAAAGGGGTTTGGAATAAACATGTCATTTCAGCCCAGGAGGTGTGGTAGCCCCGTGGGTCATCTTCCTCCATGGGTCTGGACACAGGGGACACAGAGAATGGGTCACTCGCTGCTTAGCATCAGCATTGAGTAAATCCATACCCACAAACTCAAAAAGCTCTCAAGCCTGTGGGAACTGGATGTCTCTAAGAGGACTGTGAACGCACACCAGTTATGGAAGCCTGAGTATCTGGCCAGAGAAGCAAGCCTTTTCCATATCATTTAGGAGAAAGCCATCAATGTGATGGAGTGAAGCCGACAAAACTCACCGGTTCTTCCTTCACCCAGGAGCAGGCAAGAAAACAGCCCTGAGATTTCAGCGTTCTACAGATTTCAAGGAGGAAAAGAGCAAGAATAGTTGCTCTCCTTCCCCTCACATGAACAGAAGCTATCCGTTTAATGTCTATAAAAAGGCACACCAAACAAACATTTCAGCTCTGTCCCTTTAGTCCATAAACGCACCCTCATTTCTTTTGCCTAAATGTGCTTTTGTGCATGCTGTTTACACTGAGACCTTATTTTTTTCTTTTCCTATTTTACTTGACTTTCTCCTTCTATCTTCAAACCCTCCCCAACCCTTCACCACTAGGCTACCAACCTAGGAGACCCTCTCATATGTTCCACCCTGCTTACGGCCTACCACACACACATACACATACTGTTGGGGGATCATTATTTGTTTTACAGAAACAAGACATTATACACATTTTTCTTCATATTTTTCTCACTAAACCAAAGATAATGGGAAGCCCTCCGAGTCCTGTGGGTCTGACACTAATGTAGCCTTTTCAAGCTCATATAATAAGTCATAGCATGGATGGACCATATTTTTTTAACCATTCACCTATGGATAGGCATTCATTTTTGTTTCCAGATCTTTGTTCCCACAAACACTATGTAACAAACATCTATAATACATTATAACATGCATACTTTTTCCTTTCTTTCTATGGGACAGATTCCCAGAAGTAGGGTTGCTGGGTAAAAACATATGTATTTTTAATTTTACAGGGTTCTACTTGGTTGCTTTCCAAAAAGGTTCCAACCATTTATCTTTCCCTCTCAAAGGACAACAGTAGTCTTTCCTCTGCTTTCTTATCAGCAATGGGTGTTATGTCATATTTCATATTCTCTAGTTTGAAAAATTAAAGATATTAACTCTTTCTTTAGAAAAATTTACATTTTCCCAACTACCAGTGAGTTTGAACATGTGTCCATATATATGTTGAACATTTGGATTTGGAATTCTGGGATATGTCTAGTCCAGTCCTTGTCCATTTTCTACTCATGGTTTATCCCCTTTTTCTAACAGTTCTTTAAGTATAATGCACATCAACTCTGTCTTAAAATGTTATAAACTTTCATCCAAATGCACGTTGGCCCACTCACTTTCTTTTGCCATACAAAAGCTTTTAATTTTCATGTGGTTAAAAATAGCTTCTGAGTGTCCAATTGTGGTTATGGAAGTTTTCAGGAGTTCCTTGCAGGATTCTTAGAGTTTTATTTTTTACATTATGTCTTAATATACCTGAAATTTATTTACTATGTGGTTTAAGATTGGAGTCTGACTTTATTTTTTTCCAAATAAAGAACCACTTGTGAGAATACAACTAATTGATCCAAACTTTCCCACTAAACTGAAATGCCATCTTTGACATTTATTATAGTCTCATGTATTATAGATCTAGAATCTAGAACTGGGATTTGGCTCTAGATTCTCTGGCTTATTTGTCTAGTTCCATGTCAATATCCCATAGATTTGGTTATGGTAGCTTTAGAGTATAGTCTGATGTTTTGCAAAGATGAGTCTACCCTTATGATTGCTCTTTTTAGAACATGCTTTGCATGTTTATTTTCAGGTAGTTGTTAATTCCATTTATACTTTAATATCATTTTATGTGACACCCCCACTTTGTCCCCAAACAATCACCTATTGGGATTCTATTTGGAATCATGTAAATTTTATATTAATTTTAGAGAAGTTGATTCTTTTATGATACTAAATCTTCCCATACAAGAAAGTAGTATGCATTTTCCATTTGTTCCAATTTCATTTCATATACTGCAATAAGATTTTGTTTTTTTCATATAGGTACTATAAAAATTATTCCTATGCCATGTACAATTTGAATTGTTATTTTAAAAGATTACTCCATTTGCATTTTAAGTGCTCACTGCTAGAGTGATAAAAAAAAAGCTATTGAGCACTAGAATTAAAAAAGCTATTGATTTTTATGTATTTGTTGTGGATCTTGTCACTGTATCAGATTCTGTTATCATTCCAGTATTTCTTTTTTTTTTAATTGGGGAACAGTGTATTTTTCCAGGGTCCATCAGCTCCAGTCAAGTAGTTGTTTCAATCTAGTTGTGGAGGGCGCAGCTCAGTGGCCCATGTGGGGATTGAACCGGCAACCTTGGTGTTATGACCACTGTGCTCTAACCACTGAGCTAACTGGCCACCCCCATTCCAGTATTTCTTTACTAGTTTCTTTTGGGTTTTCTAGATATACAATTGTACAAGAACATATTTACATGGCTATTTTAATGTGCATATCTGTATAAGCACAGAAATAGCTCATCTTTTTTTTCTAGTATATTTAATAGTTATTTAATTTTCATAGCAGCTGCTGAAAATTCCAAAAACAATGTTAAATTATATGGTGATCGCAATTATTCCTGACTAATTTCTTATTCAAGATGAAAAACTTTTAGAATTTTACCATTTACTACTACATGCTACTGGTGTTTTAATAAGGACTCTGCATTATGTTAATTGGCTTCTTTCCTATTTTACTTAGACTTTGTATTTTGGGTGTGGCAGCTGAACTATCTCAAATATTTTTGCAGCATCTACTGATAGGATCAAGTTTTTCTTCTTCATTTTTTTGATAGAGTAGTATTTAGAAATTCTGAACCTCCTGCACTCCTGAAATAAATACTATTATACTTGGTCAAATATATTATTCTTTTGATACACTCTTGAACTCTATTTGCTGATATTTTATTTAGAATTTTGTATTTATGTTTATGAGTGAGGCTGGCTGTCAGTTTTCTTTGAATTATGCTGGTTTGGTAAAATTAAATAGCATAAATTTTCTGAAACAGTTTTAAAAACAGTTATTTCTGTACTAAAAAATTTCTCTACTAATTCAGCTGAAATCCATCTGATAATGGTAGCTTTTGTCACTGGTGGCCTCTTTAGTCTCATTCTACCCGTAAAATAAAATGATGTAGAAATCTGAGATTAATAACAGAACAACAATGAGAATCTAATGAGACAGCATTCATTCATCATTTTGGGAGATGTAAGAGTTTAAGTCAGTTTTCATGCTATTCAGTCTGCTATGAAGTTAAACTAAGAAGCAGTGATGTGTTACTTTAGTTGGCCTGGAGAATCAGACATAAAGATTAAGTACAGAAGAAGAAAAAGCAGGAGAAATACTGCTTTTAGAAAACAATAAGGGAGAACCTGGCACAGAAGAGGGGTCCCTGGCAAATGCCTCAGGTGTCACCAACTGCCTCTTGCACTGGGTCTTTGTGGAGTGATACTGAAGTGGAAAAGAGCAGTTAAATAGGACTTTATTGGAACAATAATAGTAAAATTGGAATATGGACTACTGTAGATTAGAGTATTGTATCCATGTTAAATTTCCAGATTTTGGTCATTATACTGCAGTTATGCCAGGGAATGGTCTGTACAACTATGCTGTAAAGTATTAAGCAGTAATGGGCATGATGTCTTAACTGGTTCAGAGCTAAAGGTGTTATCAGGGGTGTGTTCTCAAAAGGTTTGCCCCTTCCAGCATGATTGACCCTGGAGGCCAATGATCCTCTGACCCCACTTCACAGATCCATGATGTCCCCTCCCCACTCTCTGTCACCACTCCTTGGTGGCCCATCCCAACACCTGTAATGTGGACTCCATAATAACATAGGACATTTCACCTTGAAATTCACTTCTCCACTGCAACATTCTCCTCTCTATACTCTGGGGGCACAAAGTACATAAAGCACAATTCCAACCCTAGTGATCAAAGGTCACTGTGAGTCTTAACCTTTAATGTGCATAAGCATCACTAGAAAAATGTGTTTAAATGCAATCTCCTCTGAATAGCTCTTTGTTAAGTTGGGGTGAAGCTCAGGAACCTGAATTTTCAAACAAATCCTGGTTATTCTTGTGCAAAAGTGGTCTGTGGGCCATATTTTGGCCAATGCCATCCTACAACCTATCAGCATCTTATGAGCAGTAGGCACACAATTCAAATTTATTGGATTCACTGGAATTGCCCAGGGCCATGGAATTAAGAAAAGAATCCAGCTCTCATACCTTGAGCATGAAAACAGGGCTAAAGTCCATTTGTCATGCAACCAGATGACACGTATCCCAGTCCTGGCTTTGGCTCTAAACCGTAGTCTTCTATGTCTCAGCCTCGTATTTCTAAATACCTGCATGGCATGGCATGGGCCCTCCTTAGCACTAAATCACTATGGAGCAGTCAACATATTTCCTACCAAACGGTTGCATAATTTTAACCTGCTCAAAACAGTTATAAGTCCTGTGAAGTTAATGTGTCCGGGGAGGTCTTTAAGCCTCTATCCAGGTGGTAGGCGGTTGTAGTAGCTTTTCTAGCACAGGTGATAAGTGAACATCAATTCAGCCCTGCTCTCACCACCTGCCACCTTTGTCTCCTTGAACATGACAGTGCACTTCGTAGTGAATAATAGTTACTAACTGACCGAGGCTGTTTAAACTCAAAGTCCAAACTCAGTCTCAGTGGCATCTTCATCTACACATCTGAGCGTCTTAACCTGTAAGCTACACAGGACTAAGACAACTAACTGTATGCAGCATTTTATGCCTAGCATCCAGTGTAGTAGCTACCTAAAAAAAAAAAAAATTAAGAAAGAAAAAGAAAAAAGGGTTGAGTGCATGGACGTCTTGAATATCCAGCCACGAATGTATATACAAGTTGTAAATATTTATAGAGCCACAATTTATATTATTGTATGTCTGGTAACTTCCATCTACGCCTATCTATGATGACTGCTTCAGGGTCTAAACCCCTATGGAGCAGAGAAGTTGGAGTGAGTGTCCAAGCTACGTGTGAAAGTGCAACTCAAAAATGTACCACCCTGGGGTCTCTAAAGCACTAAGCTATAAGCCACTTCATTCTTCCTGCCAGTAAAACAAAAAGCTAAGTAGCTACTTAGTCATTTTAGCTTAGAGTTTACATTTATTTCTAGCTTTTGCATTCATTACCGTCAAGTAATGAAAAAAAGAACTGTAAAATTATAAAAAATACCAAATAAGCTGTTTACCATTCACCCTAGAAGCTGGAAGTCAGAATTCATTATTTTAACACAAACTGGGGAAGAAAAACTTGACGAGGACAGATGCTCTTTTAAGAAGGCCAAAGAGGACACAAGATCACCTACTGTACATTCGTACCTATGTTTACAAATTCAGAAATAAAAGTACGAAGCAGAATGAGTTTAGATGTAATTCAGAAATTTTTACTCGAGCTCAAAACATGAAAATGTTGCACGGGCATTGAGTAAGGAGGTAACAAGAGTCTATTATAAAGATATATGGGTTAATAATTTCATGGGGTTATTCAAGAATGATCTGCTATGATTGAAACCATGTGTGCAGAGTTTGGGCTTCTGCAGGATGTGTCGCAGCAACAAAGGCCCCAAAGCTGCCTTCTATGTATACACATGATTGACTTAGATACACTTCCCAGACATAAACAGTGAAGGAATGTCACTGAAGCCCTGTGTGCTATCAGATAGAGATGGAGAATGCTTACCACATTGTACAAGCCGATGCACCAACGTTCAAATAAAATCTGCCCAGAAAATCCATTAACAAAGGCGAACCAAAGCTGAAAGAGAAGAAAGTTCATGAAGTTTTATATCAATATTGACCTAAATGTTTCCATTCACTGGAGAAGGAGCGGGAATGTGGACCACCAGCTGGACACAGCTGCTAAGGGATACAAAGCCACAGGACCAGAGCAGTTGTTCTTTCAGAACACATAAATTCCCAGGATCACAAATACCAGTATTTTAAGGAAAATTCATAAGTAAGGCACACAATGATTTTAAGAGGTAATATGCACAGATTAACAGAAAAGCAATTTATGTTTAATTTATATCTAGTACGTTTTGTGTCAACACTCTCTCCTTGACTGGAAGAGTCTTAACTTCATGTCCTCTTTCCCTACAAAGTTGACTGGATAAATATAATTTATCTTTGTAGGACTTTCAAATAGATAAAAAATTAAAAAACAAGAACTCCTCTGCTGGTCATGTGTGTTCTTAAAATGTTGACCCTCCTTAATTGAGCGAGCATCCACCACTGCAGCAAAGGTGAAAGCACAATATATGAAAGAAACATGCTTAAATCATCTTTTGGACTACATGGGTTGTATAAATAAATTTAAAAAATGATTAGTCATGTCTTTAAGCAGTCTATCATTCTGATTAGGGAAGACTGGCACACAAACCACTACCGAGTGCCAAGGACATGCATGACAAGGGAATAAAACTACTTTAGAGAAGGGATGGTTGCCCGGGTTTAATTCGGAGAAGACGAGGAGGTGGTAGGAGTGGAGTAGGAGGGGGCCGAGCCATCAGGAGGAGGGGGCGAATACGGAATATGGAATACAAAATGCTGCTGTAGAAAATTCAGCCCCATTGATATGATACAACAAGGTTCCAGTGATTTGGGGTAGATTTTAAAGTATCTCATGCCAATCACAGAATCCATCTTACTGGTGGGAAATCACGCGGGACTGAGTTGTTACCACGGTGGCACACTGGCCACACAACAGCAGTCCCACAATAATCTGAGTTGAGATCAGCTCTGCTGCTGAAAGTTACTGAGTTAGATTTTTCAAAATCAGTCTCTTGACTCCACCAGACAAAGCTTCTTGAGATAGGACTTGTTCCCCATCCCGAGCAACTGTATCTCGTATGATATTTGGAACAAACGGGCTCACTGAGTCCCAGTGGAATCATATGAATACCTCAAGTCAATTGCCAGATGAAGTTTTCTTAAGCGCAAGCTTCATCATCTCATTCCTTAGTTCAAAAGGCTATGAGGGACCCCTCCTAAATCTAAGATAAGCTTGCTGCCCCTTAAAAATCCTTCCACACTCTGATTCACTCGTAATTTCAGCTATCTCCCAAGAGATTCCCATGAGGCCTGGCTATTCTCAGTGAAGAAATATTGGTGGAGAAGTAAGAATCAGAAGTTTGTGCTGTGCTCTGTACTCAACATATTTTTACAACACCTTTTCTAATATTAGCCATCCCTAAAATGACGGTTTCAATTGCAATGCCTTCCCAAACTCCAGGCCTTGGCAATCAATCCTTCAATCAAACTTTTAGTGCCGTGAGAGTCTGGATCCACACCTGATTCAACATATTTGTAAATAATTTCAAGGGTTTTAACCTAATTTTCCCAAGGTTATACTTCTATATTTTCCTATTCAAACAACTGAACAAACATTGATAAATGTCTAGTAAACATGTAACTATTTCATTGCTTAACTTGATTTATTGCCTTTTGTTGAAGGTAGTGATATTTCTATTGCACTCCTCTCCCTAATAATCAATCGAAACCAGCAAAATAATTGAAAATAGAAAAGAGATAACTACTTTCAATGAATCTAGGAGAGAGCCTTAATTAAAACTACAAAGGACGTAGAATAGAAGCTGATACATATGACAAGATTAGATCAAATCAAGGAAGAATGTCGATAGCAGACAGAACCTACAGAATAAAAAGATTTCCAAGAAATAGGTGAACCAACACTTATTTAGAGGGTGAAATCTAGAGGTAGGGATAAGTCATGACAAGTCTGTGGACTGATTCAGCACACCAGACAAATTGACGATAAAGGGCAATGTATGCACATATGCCTTCTCCCCTCTGCCCCCCCCCCCAAGAAGCAAGTGAGGAGAATGGCAGGGCACAAGGGGGAGCATAAGTGGCAATCAACTTGCAGACACTGGCCAAAGTAAACTGAAAGGAAATAAATACAAAACAATCTAACAGAAAACCCATAATATACAGGAATTCACTGTCAAGCATACAGGCTTCTGACTCACCCAAGGAGAAGAAACGGTGGTAAGGGAGGTGCCTGTACACAAAGTGATAGGTGACCAGTGTGCAAGAGACAAAAAATTTGAAGAGAAAATGTTCTGAGACAACTTTGAAGACCATCTCCTAGACATCATCAAAAAATAATGAAGAAAAAAATAAAGAAATGTGACAAAAAGTATATGAAAGAATTTCTACAGCAAGAACCAGATTACAGGGCAGAAGAAAATTTTGAATGCTCTTGGTGATACTTAAAGAGCTAAAAAACAAAAAGTGGCTTTCCTTGAAACAAGAGCTAAAGTTAGATATGTAAGGTATCAAAGAAGGAAGCAAATGAGAGAAGATTCAAGCTACATGAAGGAAAAAAAATCCCAGAATTACCATTGCTGAATCCACAGTCAGGGATGGGTAGAGTAGGCTTGAGAAAAGAAACGGACAAAGGACAAAACATTGATTTTAAGAGAAACTGACAGACTTTCAAAGACGATTTTAAAAATTCAAAAAAGATATACATACCTTAAAAAAAAAAGAACAAGTAGAACAGAAAAAAAAATGTTCAAAGATGTATTAGAAGAAAATTTTCTGAAATATTCCCAAACCTTAATCAACGAATGTTGAGGGCATCCTTTGACCCCAGGAAACAAAACAACAGATACAGAAAACAACACCTACACATATCCTGACATGTGAGTGAATTCATGAGTTTTAAAATTCTGTAAGATTAATTCTCTAATATATTCAGGCAAAAAAAAAACAATTAACCTCCAAGGAGAAAAATCAAGTTGGCTTTGTATTTCTTGCTAGCAGTATACAATACCAGAAGCCAGCAGTGAATGTTTACAAGTCCTTAGGGAAAGAAAGCATGACAAGAATTTTAGCAAAATATAGAAACCAAGGAAACAGTAAAAGCTGAAGACATTACATAAAATGTGATGACAGAAGTATACCAAATATGTCTGTTAAATTAATAATACAACTTTAAAACTCTCAATGGATAAAAAAATAAAATCCAAAATATGTATATGCTATGCACAAGAGAAACATGTCAAACACACATGAGAAAGAAGCACTATTAGGATAAGATGGAGTTCATAGCCCTGACTTACAAAGCCCTACAAACGAGGTCTTCTCCTACTGTTCTGACAACACTGCTTCTCCTTCATTAAAGCTACAAGGCCCTCGGGTGGTTCCTTGTAAGTATCATGTATGGACCCAGCTTTATATTTTGCACCTAAATATGAGGCAGTTCTGTCAACATCATTTGGCTAATAAGCTGTCTTCATTTCACTTGTTTGAAATGCCCTTTATTGCATAATAGGCTATTACCATGGTATATAGAAAAAAATTATATGGTATTTTGATCTCACTCCATGTAATCAAATTAATTATAGATGGCTTGAATATTTAAGCATAAAAAATCAAAGCATTAGGAGGAAATATAAAAGTTACTTTTTTGTATATAAAACTGACTCTCTCTATGACATTAAACTCAAAAATCATACAAAAAGAGGGATACATTTGAAACAACTCATTGCTATAGAGAAAAACATTAATAAAGTTGAAAGGAAATGAATAAATAATACAAATATATTTGTAACATCTATAAAATGCCCAATTTCCTTCATATATAAAGAGTTCTTACAAATGAGAAAACTCCTGACAAGCTGTTAGACTCTAACAGTTAGAGAAATAGGCAAAGAATATATGCAGTGTGATCACGAGAAAAAAACTTGTAAATATAGAAAATTTCATTTTTTATCAAACACACATATACACAAGGATACCATTTTTTATCTAACAGATGGGCAAAGATTTAAATTTGGTAATCTGGGGAAATAGCCAATCTCATACCCAGCTGGCAATATGAAATGTGTTTAATGTACTTTTCCTTTAACCCAACAATTCCACTTTTAGGGGTATACTAAAAATTATATCTTATAGCTATAATCACACAGTATTCAACATGAAAATACAAGGGTGTTTACCACAGCATTATCTGGAAAGATAAAAAATTAGAATTTGTAGGCATATTATAGCTGGTTAAATGAATTATGATTCCCCTATAACAGCAGTTCTCAACCTTCCTAATGCCGCGACCCCTTAATGCAGTTCCTCATGTTGTGGGGACCCCCAACCATAAAATTATTTTTGTTGCTACTCTATAACTATAATTTTGCTACCGTTATGAATTGTAATGTAAATATCTTTTTGTTTTTCAATGGTCTTAGGCGACCCCTATGAAAGGGTCGTGACCCACAGGTTGAGAACCGCTGCCCTAAAACAATAAAACACTATGCAGACATTAAAAAGAGTAATATAAGGGCCGGCCGAGTGGCTCAGTTGGTTAAGAGCTCGCTCAAGAGTTTGAGCTCTGAGCAACAGCAGTTCGATGCCCAGCCCGAGCTGAGGTGCCGCTGAGCTGCCAAAAGGTGGCAGGATGGCTCAGCTAGGACAAAAAAGAGTAATATAAATCTGTAAGCACTATAATATAAAAATCTTACAGATATATTATTAAAATGAAAAATACCAAGGTATATGTTGAATGGTCATGATTGTACAGAATAGATGTATACACTCATATGCATGGCAAGTGTTTGGAAGACATATAAGCAATTGTGAACATTCATTACCTTTTGGTAGCAGAAGTGTTCTCTGGGGGTATAATGGAGGCTCACTTCTACCTCTTAGACTGTTCTGAACTTTGAAAACATGCTCATGTTTTATTGCTATAACTGTTGAAGCAGTAATTTTTAACTAGGGTTCATGTTGCCTCCA